AAGTTAACCATACATACGGGAGTGAACTGCCATTTTCGTTTAGTAAAAAAAAAAAAATCATCGTGTCAGGGCTGTGACGAAAAATAAGTGGCCTAAATCCGATGAGAAAACAGGATTTGGGGGTACCCTACTATGAACGTCAAACCCCCTGAGACCCCATTTTTTTGCGATAGTTTTTAAATGCGTCAACTTTCGTTGACAATATTCTGGCAATGTATGTTGCAGAACCTGCCGAAACTTTTATTACTAAGGTATTTTAACGCCAAACGATTATGGAAGGTACTTCTCATTCACTCGTAATGTTAAGGTCAATTCAGGCCCGGGCAGAGGCTTGCGCTCGGCCACACTCGAGCCCCGCCACCAGCGCCATCTGCTCTAAATGCCATCTACCAGCGCCCGCTACCGCTACCAGCTACCGCCCACCATCAAGCCTGAATGGAGCGAGAGACGCGAGTGACCGGTCGCCGGGCAAGGAGCGCCGGAGGGGTAGGGCGGAGCTTAGCGCTGACGTCATTACGTGGCTCCGCCCCATGAGCGCGTAGCCTCTACCCAAACAGCAGATTCGTTCCGTGAAATTTAACATAACGAGTGAATGAGAAGTACCTTTAATAATCGTTTGGCGTCAAAATACCTTAGTGATAAAAGTTTCGGCAGGTTCTGAAAAACACATTGCCAGAATATTGTCAACGAGAGTTGACGCATTTAAAAATAATCGCAAAAAAGTGGGGTCTCAAGGGGTTTGACGTCCATAGTAGGTTTGGCTCCTTGAGCTGGTGCCCCCCCTTGTCTCAAATTGTTCCGCCGCCTATGCCACTGACCTAGGACCTTAAAATTAGGTATAATCAGCTTCCTGTCGTCACTGGTAACACGTTCGTTTTTTCCGAGAGCTCTAGCTCGATGAGGGGGCCAAACGGCAAGACGTGTCCAATGGACCCCCTCCCCCCTCTCACTTACACGCTCGCCGGGATAAAACACCAATGCGGGCGAGGGTTAAAAAGGGCATTATACAGGCCTTCGAACCGTTTTAATAAGAAATGCAGCATTGAAATTAAGCTCACCGTTAACTTTCGAATGTTGCATATCAATCCTTTTGTGGATCACATCGACCGAACCGCGACCGATCCTTTCTCGCCAGTGACCGCATGAACCTTTCTCCACAGGCCTCCTCTCGCATGGTCTGTGGAGGTGGGGTGGGGGGTGTACCATGCGCCATTTAGTGGCCTCGAGTCAGCTGTTTGCTTCCAGTCAGCTATTTGCCGAAACAGCTGAACGCGGGATAGCGGCAGAGTGTTTTTGGATTGCCTCGTGTGATCAACGTGTGGTGCGCAGAATACACTACGAAGCATCAGAACAGGGGGTTGGGGGTGGGGGAGCACGCGCAGGATGACTGATGAACGGCGGCCCCCTCACAAGTACAAACGCACTGTAGAGTTCTGCACGGCTACAATTTTCCACAGCCTAGCCGCCCGGCAGCCGTGGCCCCATAGCCACAGCCGCCCACAGCTGTGACAAACTGTGGGCGGCCAGCCGTCAGCCGGCCGTGGATACCTACTTTTGATGTCAGCCAAATTGATGGCAGCCAAATAGTAAATAATAAGTTGTTTTTAGTTAAAATATATAGACAATAGCACCTTGCAAATGGCTTTAGATTCTCAAGCTCATGAAGCATGCTAAACAAGCTTGCAAGGGGTTAAGAAAGATAGGTAGGTACGTACCTGCGGCTGCCTACATGAACAGAATACTTAAACAACAAACAAGAATAGAAGCACTGTAGACATCTATTGCCAAATCATGAAGCATGATTGTGGAACAGAACAACAGACCCTGGTACTATTCATAATCAATGTTATAGAAAATGGATCTGGAGTTGATGAACTGTCCAACAGTGATTGTCATGAAAGTTCAAGTTGAAACTCTTGCTTCTTTCTTTTCTTACCTTGCATATTTTCTGGGGTGCGATATGCCAGGCTTGAAGCAACCTCTGAGCAAGTGTCAAACTATTCTGATATACAATGCATCAAAACACTAGTGAGCATCCTAATTCCTAGAAAGAAAAACATTCATCTATTTTGATTTTTCCAAGATTCGATTTTTCCAAGATCATTTTCCAAGATTCCTACATAATGCATGCCGCGCTCAACTCACCAAGGACCACAATTGCCACAACTGCCTCTTTCAATCTAAATGGTTATTGGAGTTTGTAATGACGTTCATAACAAACCAGTAAAGCGCCTTTTGGGTGAAGAACGAGCGAGCGAGATAGTGAGCCCTGCACGTGCGGAAGGGCGAGAGGGTACTTCTAACGGGCTTGTGCAAGGCACCCTTCTAACCGGTCGCTAGCGGTGTGCTAAATTTGAACACAATCGGCCCAGCCGTTCCTGAGATCTGGAAGCGGCATTCTGCACGTGCGCACGTGCAAACGGGGTCCAAAATGACTTTCGCACGGCACCCTACTAACCGGTCCCCAACCCTTGTACCAAATTTTAGCGCAATCGGCCCAGCCGTTCTCGAGATCTGGAAACGCCCCCTGCACGTGTGCACGTGCAGTAGCACCCTAACCGCAACACATGGGAATGCATTGCCTGGTGGGTGCCTACCTTTATGCCAAGTTTCAGCGAAATCGCCCCAGTAATTACCGAGTTACTGAAATGGGAACAAATTTGGCACCTCTTCTTTTTGTATTTTGCACGTGCAATGGGGGTCAATCACATAGATCAAGAGTATCCGACCTTTGGCAGAAGGGATGCAGCTACCCTATAAAAGTTACCGCAAGACAATCGCTCAACCCGCTGCTGAGATATGGGCCTCTCAAAATCATCACTTTTGCAAAACTGCTTGAGCACCCTTTACTTTTCACGTGGCACGTGCCACGACGGTCACTAAGATGTATCAAAAGTAGTCAATTACGGGGTAGAAGGGATGGGGCTACCCAGCAAAAAAGACCGCAGGCCAATCGGTCCAGCGATTGCTGAGATATAAGCCTCTCAAAAGCGTTACAGGCCGGGCCGGGCCGCTCATACTGATATTTTTCCGTTATATTGAAAAGACTTCGCTTCGCTCGCTGCGCTCGCTCGCTCGTAAAAAGTAGTTAATATTTTCTTATATGCCTTTAAATACCAGTAAAACGCCTTTTGGGCGAAGAACGAGCGAGCGAGATAGTGAGCCCTGCACGTGCAGAAGGGCGAGAGGGTACTTCCAACGGGCTTGTGCAAAGCACCCTTCTAACCGGTCGCTAGCAGTGTGCCAAATTTGAACGCAATCGGCCCAGCCGTTCCTGAGATCTGGAAGCGGCATTATGCACGTGCGCACGTGCAAGCGGGGTCCAAAATGACTTGCACAGCACCCTACTAACCGGTCCCCAACCGTGTACCAAATTTGAGCGCAATCGGCCCAGCCGTTCTCGAGATCTGGGAGCGCCCCCTGCACGTGCGCACGTGCAGTAGCACCCTAATCGCAACACATGGGAATGCATTGCCTGGTGGGTGCCTACCTGTATGCCAAGTTTCAGCGAAATCGCCCCAGTAATTACCGAGTTACTGAAATGGGAACAACTTTGGCACCTGTTATTGTTGTATTTTGCACGTGCAGTGGGGGTCACTCACATAGATGAAGAGTACCCGACCTTTGGTAGAAGGGATGTAGCTACCCTATAAAAATGACCGCAAGACAATCGCTCAAGCCGCTGCTGAGATATGGGCCTTTCAAAATCATTACTTTTTCAAAACTGTTTGAACACCCTTGACTTTTCACGTGGCACGTGCCACGGCGGTCACTGAGATGTATCAAAAGTAGTCAATTACGGGGTAGAAGGGATGGGGCTACCCAGCAAAAAAGACCGCAGGCCATTCGGTCCAGCGGTTGCTGAGATATAAGCCTCTCAAAAGCGTTACAGGCCGGGCCGGGCCGGGCCGGGCCGGGCCGCTCATACTGAGATTTTTCCGTTATATTGAAAAGACTTCGCTTCGCTCGCTGCGCTCGCTCGTTATCACTTAAAAATGGTGATAAATTAAATATAGGGTACCTAATTCAAATAATTGTTATACTCCAACAAAAGTGAAATATCACAAATTTTGATATTTTTAGCTAGAGACGTCATTTTATCAGCAAAGCCAACAACTCGCTGAAGAAATATTGTGTTCAGTGTTTTAAACGTAATGTGCATGAACAGCAAGCAGGCTTTACGATGCCTAATAATGTAATTCCATTGGCTTCGTTGAATAATATTTTCTGTTCGTTCACTCACACAACAGTTAGAAGTTAGAACATTAAAGTGCCAATTCTATATTATGTAAATGGTCTTGCCGAAAATCTCCAGAAATACATCCAATCCAACTTTATTTAGATAATATTTTATGAAGCCCTATCTGTCATTTCTCTTTTGAATTACCTGAAAGAACTACTGAACGCCTGTATTTAATAGCTGTAAGTTGCTCTCCTAATAAGCAGGTAAGATTGATTGGAAAGGGACATGACAATGCAACATGGGTGCATTTTCTGAAGTTGTCAGCTGATGATGTTGAAGGAGCAATTGATATGCTCAGTCATCTGTACCAGGTGTGCAAGTTCCCTTATTTATGATGGCAAATGATAAAACCGTTTCAGGTTTGCATGGGCTTTACCACTTCCATTGTTGCTGGACATCCTTTGAAATTATTTTCATATGTTAGACTGCTTATCAGAATGTAAGTTAAAGCATTAAAAATTTTATGTTTCGGCATTTAAGATTGATCTTGAAGTCTCACAGCCGTGGCCACAGCCGTAGTCGTGCTCTTGGAAATATTTGCAGCCGCCCCGGCCCACAGCCGTGGGGATGCAGCCAGCCGCGGCTGCAGCCGGCCGGTGCAGACTGCAGACCTCTGACACGCAGTGCGCGACGTCCGGGAGATTGGCCAGTGGCCACCACTCCCTGGCCCCCGCCCCTCTACCCCCGGGCGCTGGAACGCCGGCGCCCGGCGCAGTTGTGTGACCGCGCTGCGGCCGGCTGTCGTCTCCGTCATGTCTCACTGGACTGCGGGCTGCGGGGTGCGCCGACCGCAGGTGGCCGGCTGCTGGGCGGGCTCGGCGGCCGGCGCCGCCACTCCTCCGGCACTAAACAGTCGGCTCTCGGTCTGAGCGCGGCCGTCCCGGAGCTCCGACCGCCGGCCGCCGCCGGGAGTCGGCCACTGCACTGACAGCTGCAGTGGGCCGGGGCGCCCGCCGCCGGACTGGCGGGGGCCAAACCGCAGCGCCGCGCCGGGGCTGAGCATTTTACGAGCGCGGACTGGCGCGGGGACTGGTCAACGGTCATCGCTACCATAGAACCCCACCGGGGCTGGTCATTATACCACCACAGAGCCGCGTCGGGGCACACCGTTATGTCATTTTCCACCACAGGGTAGTCAAATCCTTCACCACCTTCCGAGCTGGGCGGTATCCTCCCACAAGAGTCACTGGCGGATTCAGGGGGAGGGCATCAGGGGCATATCCCCCGCAGGACCCTGGTCCCTGGGGGGCATTCAATACAAGGTCTTGCGGGGATATGCCCCTGATGCCCCCCCCCCATTCAGGCTTAGGTACATGCATACACTTATTGCCAGACTTGTAAACGACTCAAATTTTTTTTTGAGTCGATTCTTTGTTTGAGTCTGGAAATTTGAATCGATTCATCAAACGACTCATGATGTTAAATTTAATTGATTCGAATCAACTCATGACTCATCAAGTTCCTCGATAAAATGATTCGAATCAACTCATGACTCGAGCCCACGGAATGATTCGAATCAACTCATGACTCACACATTTTGATGAATCGATTCAAATCAACTCATGACTCACACGACATTTTTATTGAACTTATTTCATTCAACCCATGACTCACTATAGGCATTTGTTGATTACACTATGCAACAAAAAATGAAAGATTTTCTGTTCCTGGAAAGCGAACGAATTGTTCTTATTCATTGAGTCCTATCATAACCGAAATGGGCATTAGTTTTTATCTGAAAATGCTTTTCCGGTTTTCAGAGACGATTTTCGATTTTTAGCCCCGAAATTCGGTTTTTGGCCCACCGTGTCCGGTGTAATTGAGTAATCGACTCGCGGTAACTTTCATCGCCTTTCCTATGCCACAAGCTTTCGAACGATATCCGGTTTTGCATATTTGCCTGTAAAAATAACGTCATAAATCGATGTTTAAGTAAGAAAATGTTGACTTTGCCTTGGAGGATCCTTGCAATAAGGAAGTGCAATGTCCGCGCGCGCGTGACAACGTCTGGAGGCAGCTGAGGCTTGCGCCTTGAAATGGTGTAAAGCCTTTGCTCTGTGAGGTTGGACGCAGCTTGGTTGTAGACTGTCGTTGCGTTTCGTTTGCGTTGTCACGAAGATGTCTTCCAAATGTAAGCACCTGGTAGACAGCTTCTGCTTCATTTGTGGGGAGTTCATCAAGACGAGGTCAGAAAAGTATCGTGTTCTGACCCATCGAAAGTTATACACGGCATACATGGCATACTTCGGCGTCGCAATTGGCGATCAAGACCGGTCGTGGGCCCCGCATTTCTCCTGCCAGAGCTGCACAAAGACCCAGGGTATATTGAGTGAAGGGTAGGACGAACTTTGGTAGGAATTTCTAGTATAACTACTAGAAAACCTACTATATGTGGTCGGGACTAGCAAAAAGTTAGTTCAAACTAGAATATGGTAGCGCTTATGGTTGGCAGTCGTGGCGCGCACGTGACATTCATTTCTTAAATTTCTTAAATAACAGGTTTTAGGGGCCGATTAGTGGGTAGATACATTCAATTAGCTATTAACAATTGATTGTGCAAACATTCAAGAATCTACATCATTCAATTCTAGCCAAAATCACTCGGCGCTCCCAGGATTCGAACTCACGACCCTCGGATCCGTAGCCCGATACGTTACCGACTGCGCTACCGAGGACCGCGCGCTGACGTTCGGAGAGGCGGATCGCGGGTGCTGGCGTGCAGAGAAATCTTTACCCTGTACGCCGTGGAAGATCGGCTGGGTTTCGTGAAAAATGGTAGAGGAATTGTCGAAAGAAAATTCATCGATCTATCATTTGAGACTAAGAACCATTGATTCCTTCAAAGGTTGACCGAGATATCGCTCGCCGAAAACAGGCCATTTAACATGTAAACCCTATGGGCTGGTAGGAAATGTACGCCGTGGAGCAGCAGTGCTACCAACTAACTTCGGCGGGGGCCGACAAAGACCCTAGAAGGTGAGAATTAATTCCTATTTAGAGCCGTCGATACATTTTGGTGGTCAAAACCATATGTCGAGTAAGTGAGCGATAAGGAAGATTACTACATACCAAGGCTCTATAGAAATAACGGCACTCACTGAGTGCCGTGAGTGACTCACGGCACTCATGACTTCATGAGACAGCACAACATGCCAGGTAGTCAGTGTCAGGCACTTCAGTTCGTCGTGCTCACTCACACTTCACGTGCATCATTGACTCCGCCAGGTCACCGCTGAGGCGGCTCCGTGCCGGGCTGAACATCTTTCCTGACATGGAGAAGACCCGTTCACTAGGGCCGGAACTGGCAGGAACGGCCAGTGCGTTCTTCGCCGCCACCTCCAGGTGCGGATAAACCGCCCTCCTGGCGCTCCAGAACGCCAGGGGATCGGCGTCCTGCTGGAGAGCGGGCTCGAGCAGGAAGGTGGCCAGCTCCTTGGCGATCGGCGACTTCTGGGGCGCCTCCGGTGTGGCGGCGCTCCTCATGAAGTCGTACAGGCTATGAGAAAAAAAAACGCAAATATTCACTTACTGGAGCAGCTGTAAGTTACTGTTGAGTGTTGGGAACATACAGTATGACAGTTGGACAGGATAACCTCCAAAAATGATTTAGATGGTAATTGACAAAACGATGTCGTTGTTTTATTAACCGGTGCTGTAGGTGACCGTCCTCAAAACGTTATGCCCTGCGGCTGCGGCGGCCCGGCAGGGATTCCCCTCTTCCCTCCCGACACGACGCGGGTTGAGATGTTTGATAATTCTTCCATAATATGACGAGACATCATGCTAAATACGCGGGGTCGAAAGTCAACAGCCGGCTTACCGCTTGACTTTGTTTGAAACACCTTTTGTTTCAACACAAACTTTGTTTGTGTTGAAACAAAACAAACACAAACTTTTTTGTGTGGTGCCTACAGAGTAAAAAGAATCAGCTTTATGACAGTAATGTGGCCTGGGGAAGGAGGTAATTTTTGGTTGTGACGTCACATATTTGAAAGTTTGTGTTTGGAATATGGGAAGCCTAAGATGTTTAATGAAAAATAAATGCCAGAACCGTGTTCCTGGTCATCCAATCTATAAAGTCGGGCACAATTTAACTGGTTTTAACAACATTTTAGAAGGTGGGATAGTCCCTTTAACATTATTCGGATCGGCCCCCGCCGAAGTTAGTTGGTAGCACTGCTGCTCCACGGCGTACATTTCCTACCACCCCATAGGGTTTACATGTTAAATGGCCTGTTTTCGGCGAGCGATATCTCGGTCAACCTTTGAAGGAATCAATGGTTCTTAGTCTCAAATGATAGATCGATGAATTTTCTTTCGACAATTCCTCTACCATTTATTACGAAACCTAGCCGATCTTCTACGGCGTACAGGGTAAAGATTTCTCTGCACCCCGGCACCCGCGATCCGCCTCTCCGATCGTCGGCGCGCGGTCCTCGATAGCGCAGTCGGTAGCGTATCGGGCTACGGATCCGAGGGTCATGAGTTCGAATCCTGGGAGCGCCACGTGGTTTTGACTAGAATTGAATGATGTAGATTCTTGAATGTATGCATTATCAATTATTAATAGCTAATTGAATGTATCTGCCCACTAATCGGCCCCTAAAACCTGTTATTTAAGAAATTTAAGAAATGAATGTCACGTGCGTGTCACGACTGCCAACCACAAGCGCTACCATATTCTAGTTTGAAGTAACCTTTTGCTAGTCCCGACCACATACAGTAGGTTTTCTAGTAGTTATACTAGAAATTCCTACCAAAGTTCGTCCTACCCTTCACTCAATATACCCTGATTCGGATGACTTACGATGTCCTGCTGCCCCACGTTGATGTTGTCGCCACGGGCTCGGTCGTTTCCGGAGCGGAGCTGGCGCTGGCTGGGCGGGTCACCGCGAGCGCCATCGGTTCGTCCTCGTCGCTGTCGCTGAGCTGGACGACGTCCACCTCAGCCGGTTGGCGGCTCGATGTCGAGGCAGCTGCAGCGTCAGCGACCGCTCTAGCGACTACTCAGCGACCTCTCTACAGCTCAGCGGCCATGACCCCTCTACTTGTTAGGCCAAGATTGTTCCTAAAATCATTGGTTTTGTTTTAAATGCAAATTAAAAGTGGCAAATGATTTAGCAAGATGTGAAGAACACAAAACTGTGCTTATTTCTTTTCTAGGGGTGTTGGGTTCCCGGTTCCCACAAAGTCATGTCAATGTTTATCTGGCCCCCTCACTTTTTGAGATGTTCCTACACCCATGAGTCTGAGACAATACAATGACAAAATATATACCAAAATTTAACATTGCCAGAGTGCAGAATTTTTTTTTTAACCATTACCTTGATGTGCCTGTTCAGATTGGACTTGGTGTGTTCAGATGTGATGATAACCTTGCCGCAGAGCTTGCACGAGTAGCTGTTTGAGCTTCCATCTTTCTTATCAAACAAAGCACTTACTCCTGACTGTCGTGGCATGGTGGCTTACTGCAAAGCCAAGAGAAATGGAACTAGTTAGTTAGCAGTTGAGTTAGTAGTTAACCAGTCAGCAAAACATGGCAGGGAGCTGGGCAAGATTTTCCGGGCAGACAAAATGGTATTAGTATATATTAGGTCCGAGTGGACAATTGTGACGCTGTTGATACAAATATGTAAGAGCAAAAAAATTAGGTTGTAGGTTAGGTTAGGTTGTAGGTTTGTAGGTTTTAGGTTTTAGGTTGGTAGGTTTGTAGGTTTTAGGTTGTTAGGTTGTATGTTGGTAGGTTGTAGGTAAATAGGTAAGGTTAGGTCAGGTTTGATTATGTTTTTTCTTTTATTTCCAGGACATATAAGTATCATTTTTGGATTCAGGATGTCAAATAATATAAGAACATGAAAACTTTATCTTTTAACAGTCAATCGGAATCAATGTATACTTTTACAGACAAAATCCTGCCCCGAATCAGAATGCTGAGTCCAGGGGCAGCCCAATTCCTGCCCCTAATGATGCAAATAATGTAATGATATAATGATGTAGGAAGCAGTGAGAAGCCGAGAAAATCACTTCTGTGTCAATTTTTTAACTTTTGCACCATATTTTCCTGTTCCTGCCCCAATATTCCTGAAACCTGCCCCTATTCCTGCCCTGACCTGTGGTGTCTGCCCCGACAAGATCTCGTCAAAGCCTGAACGTTTTGCAGACTGGGTAGTTAACAAATGAACATCATATTTGTAATCAGCACTTCAAATAACCCCAAATTCAACAAAATTTATGCTCAAAATAGGTGGCGGAGTTCAGCTAAAAATTTGCCAGGGTGAGGGTAACCTTAACCTATCTTATGAGCTATAGCTGACTGAAGATTTGAAATTGAGTTGATTTTAACCCTCCAAATGTTAAATTCCCAGATCCCTTCTAAACAGTACAACATATACCTATCTTTGATATTTTCCCGGACGGGCGCACAACCTGGAAACCATCCACGCCAGCCGCCAGCACGTGTCCCGACAGTAAACAAATCTGACCCTGAGTATCGCCATTACGATCAGAGGACGAGGCTATTAAATCCTAAATTCGGGCTACAATCTGCAACTGTTCGTGGTAATCGTAATTTACTGTTTTTCTTTCTTCCTATGCATCAAATAAAAAATATTTTCCATTTTTTATTTGTCATCGTATATTTCTATTTTTCAACAAAATTACTCGTTGACTTCATATTTGTCGAGATTCAGACGTGAAAGTTATCAACTGCGCCATTAATGTAGTTTTCTTAAAACATACTATGACTTTCACATTCTATTCTCGAATTCATGACGTCACTCATAGTACATATTTTAGGCGAATGGAGATCGCTGAGGAAATATTTCAAAGCCGCTCCTTTACATTATTCTGAAGATTCTATGATGTCATAAAACAAGTTTCTTTTTAAACTTCTATTTCATGGAAAAATTGCATTTTGTGGTTTATTGGCAGTTGAGCATCGCAATTTTGCGGTTTATAGATGAGTTTATTTATATTATAGCATAGCCTATAGGTAGTTGATAGCAGGCACGTAGCTAGGATTTGGCCAAGGGAGGGGCGGAGGAATCCCGGGGGCCTCCTTTCTACAGAGGGCCTCCTCCCTAAAGGGACCTCCATTCTACAGAGGGTCTCATGCCTACATAATTACATATACAACATAATGCAGACTTTTGTTCAGCTTTCATATGGCCAGCGCACTGGTATGTTTCTTTATTCTTACCGCTGTCGCGGTAAGAAACATACGCATATCACAAGTCTCCCAGTGTTATGGTAACTGGCAAAAAAAAACTCGGGCGCCGGCGGCGGCGGCGGCGGCGGCCGGACCGCAGCAGGAGGGGGGGGGGGGGGGAGGATCTGCGAGGAATGGATGGATACTGGATGACGGTCAGAGTACCTAACACTTGATGTATTATCATATATCGTTCAAGCGCTTAACCGTATTCCGGGCGGGCTCTGAAAGACTCTGAATCGGGCGGGGGCCTTTTTGGCCCCCGTCAGAAGTCGAAAAGCACGAATCGTAGCGACAAACGGCAACGGCGTTTGATAGTTCGTTGAACGACTTACAACGACTTACCTCTCTACAGGGGGTCTCCTCTCTAAGGGGCCTCCTCTCTACACAGGGCCTCCTACCCACAGAGGGCCTCCTCTCTACTGAGGAGTCAGAGGGGCCTTAGCGGTCAGACACAGACACTATAGTGGTTATTCACAGGAGATGAGAAGGGCCCTAGCTGTCACTCGTCAGGCTGGTCAGAGGGCCCTGATTGTTCTGACGTCATTTTTTAGATTCCCGGGTGAATTTCGTTCGCCTCCGACGTGATTATGGCCAACGTGGGCCTTCGGCCCACGTTGGATTCAGGCCGAAAGGATTCAGGCCAACGTGGGCCGAAGGCCCACGTTGGCCTGAATCCTTTCGGGGGGCCTCCTGAAAACCCCAAGGGAGGGGCGGGCGCCCCCTCCGCCCCCCCCCCTTGGCTACGTCCCTGGTTGATAGGCTATAGGTAGTTTGGGCGTATTTGACTCTATAGACGCCCAAACTCTTATGCTGTTGATTGATTATTGGGACCAAATTGATTGGGACTGGGAGAAGGGGAGGCAGCTGCAGGTGTCAATTCTGACTTCTGACATGTAAAATGTAGGTACAGGTCTCGCGAGATTAAGCGGTAGGTTTTGCACTTTTACATTTCCGGTTATATCTCAGAAACTAATCGATCTACGATGAAGCCATTTTACACGATCATGGCCGGCTTGATACCCAAGTCGATCGCATCTTCAACACTTAAAAGCTTAAGACGACGAAGATATAGCCTGAAGTACACTAAATTTTCTAGGTGCAAAACCTACCGATAAAACCCGCGAGACCTGTACCTAGGTAGTGTAGCAGGCACTTGGTTTGGTAAGACTAAGTACATACCTACCAACTGCCAAATGCTTTTCGCTCATTAGGCGCCTGTGCCTGAGCCTCTGAGGCTCTTGTAAGTCTGGAATATGGAGTTAAGTGAGGGCTAAAGCTGAGGGGGTGATCTAGCATTGATTATTAGGGTGTTGATGGTGACTTGTAAACGACTCAAATTTTTTTTGAGTCGATTCTTTGTTTGAGTCTGAAAATTTGAATCGATTCATCAAATGACTCATGATGTTAAATTTAATTGATTCGAATCAACTCATGACTCGTCAAGCTCCTCGATGAAGTGATTCGAATCAACTCATGACTCATCGAATCGAAAATCGAAAAACGAGTTTGATTCTGAGTCGATTCACGAATTAACTCAGAGTCGTTTACAAGTCTGCTTATTGCGCTCAGTTATAACAAGAGAAAAACGGACAAGAAAGTTTTCCCAGTAACTCCTTTTGTAATCAGATTCGTTTTAGTAGCCTGCATTTAGTGGTCATTGCCTATATTTGGTCTAAAAATATGTTGCTTTTTACTAGAGATGTCAATCGGATACCAAAATTTTGGTATACCAATACCAAACCGATACCAACTTGGTATTTGGTGTTTCAATCCTCCTCTATTTGGTATTTTGTTGGTATTATGAACCCTCACTAATAATATAAGAGGCTAAAAAAATTGTATAAATTTGGTATTTGCCCCATGTTCCTAGGTTGGTTCGGTTTCGGTATTTCCTCACGGTTTTGGTTGGTATTTGGTTTGGTATCGGTATTCCGATTTTTTTTTTTTGTAATTGACATCACTACTTTTTACCACAGGGGAGTCCTGGATTTCCACGCCCTGTTGGGGGCGTAGTGTAGTGTTTGAACACTCCCCCCTTCCTAACTCGGCTCCTGGGCCACGTGCGATACGCGGAAGGCGGCGTTCGAAAGAGCGTCAAAAATAAGGAAAGAAATATCGGTCATTTTTTTCGGTCAGGACAAAGGTCAGGTCATCAGAGGTCATTGAAGGCCAAAATTCGCCGATTAGTAGGTCAGATGTCGACAATTTTCAACGAATCGACGCACAGCTCGGAAACTAAACGGAAACTAAACTAAACCTAAGCTATAGCGCTGCGGAAATGCTCATTTGATAGCCGTATGAACGCTTTTTCTTAGTAATTCCCTCGGATTTCACCTACCATAGACGGTTTTGCCTGCAGGGGGGCAAAAACTGCCTAAATAGCCGTTTTCTGGAAACGGTTTTTCTGCAATAACTTCTGACTAAAAAATTGCACGAACTTTCTTTTACCAGCATCGTGTTCCTTTTATCAAGATGCGTCGAATGAACTACACTGTAAAAAAGTTTACTAACCTCTGTGTTATGTGATAAATTTCACTCGCCATAGCTTAGTCAAATAACTTAGCACACGCTAGTTTTATAACACACCATAAGCATGTATCCTTGTTATGTTACTTACGCATTTGCTTTCTAGGCTTTGTTAGCTTACTATATACTTGTGAGTAATCATGTTACGTTACTAGCTTGTTGTGTTGTGAAAACAAACCTATCGTTTGTGAAAAAGCTAAGCATGTTATGTCACTAACTTGTTGTAATGTGAAAACAAA